CTAATGCCCCTACTCTACTTGCACTACATTTTAGCCCACGAAAGCTTATGCCCACATAAATTTGTTAGTCTCTAAGGTGCCACAAGTAATCCTTGTTCTTTTTGCTGATACAGACTAACACGGCTACCACTCTGAAACCTATATATATATATATACTGTATCACGGGCTCTCCTTACAGTATCTCGCTGCCCGCTGGCTTTTCCTGGCTGAGGCGAGATTTTCAGCTGCAGGGTGAGCTGTGAGCTGCGGCCATGGTGAGTGCAGGCTGCACTTACCGGCTCTTTTGCTCCCTGGTGGGACAGTGAGCTGGATGTGCAGGGCCTTGGTCATGGCTTCTTCCTGCCAGGGGGGTTTCATGTCTACGTCCCAGGACCAAACTGCCTGGCTCTGGGCCCTTGACGGGTGAGTGCTGAGGAGAGCAGGTGGGGACTGGGTTCTGCGGGCATACGTGGGGGTGACCAGGCACTGTTCTGCTCCCCTCTCTGCTTTTGGTGGCCTTTGCTACAAGCAGAGGACATTTGGGCTCCTCTTATAGCTTATTTTAGCTCAGTATCTCAGAGTGCTTTATAGATGCCACATTTGCCATCACTCGTATAAATGTGAATCCCATTTTACAAATGGGATTATTGAAGCTGTGAGAAATTAACATGATTCTGTAAGATTAGACTCTTAAAATAAAATCATGTTTTTTGGCAGAGACGATTGTTCTGAATTTTTTAATTTTTTTCACACTTCTTTTAAAAGAGTATTTCTGCTTTGTTTAATGTCCACTATGGCTTCTTCCGCAAGATAGAAACTGATTATACAGGTACTGTATACACTGATACTACCTATACACAAAGTACAGTCTAATGCACAAAACAAACTGAAAAAGAAAAAGAGAAACTTTTTTGGTAACTTCTTTCAGTTATAAAAATCTTAGGTGTGATAAACAACTGTACAATGCTGTCTCTAAGTACACTTGCCAGGGTTACACTGTGAATCATTGAATTGTAACTAAAAGAGCAAGTCAGGAATTGAAACTGAGAGAGCTGACTCACAGTCCTTTGTTATAATCGGTAGATGTACTGCTTTGTAGTGTATACTTAGAGCAGCAGCAAAACTTATCTCCTGCTGTGTGTACAGTTTAAAATTATGAACCATATCCCTGGTTTAGTGGGTATGCACTTTCCTTTCCTAATGGAGAATGGAAAGAAAAGCAATTGACAAGTTTGTCTGAATATTTTGCCTGGTGGTTGTCATATAAAACTGTGATTTGAGTGAGGGAAACTAAAGAGAGCCTGTTAAACACATTTGTCACCGAAGGGAGAGAATCTTAAAATTTCCTAACACATTTATCACAAAGGATGGAATTGTCCTTGTCATGTTATTGACAGGAGCTGTGACTGTATAGATCATTGTTGCACCTGGTCTTGTACAGAGGAGGCCAAGTGGGGTGTCTATGGAAAGGTGGTAGTTTGCTGGTTATAATTATGCTGTCTGTCGGTGTGTATCGTTTTTGTATTTGAAGTTATGAATGTTGGCTATGTACTTGTTTGATTTTAAGTAGCCTCAGTGAAGCATTTGGTCAACTTCTTGAGTAAAGACTATTCTCAGTTAGTGCCCAATGAAGAAACACTTAAGCTGACAATGGACTTCGAGAGATGCCAATCCACATCTGAGCTTTAACGTTGGCCTGTAAAGAACTGAGTCATGCATGGACATGTGACTTGCCCATGTAACTGCAAAACTCCATCTTGTAGCTGTGATTCTGTATAGGAAAACACAAGGGGTTTCCACCCACAAGAGAGACTATATAAGGCCCTGGGAAACCCTTCCATTTTGTCTTCAGCTGGCACAAAAGATAGCCTCTCCACCCCAAAGAGATGCCTGAAAGAAACTGGAACAAAGGACAGTAACTACAGGGGTGTGAGTGATTGCTGGACCCAGACTAGGAGGAAGTCTAGTCTGTAAAAGAGGC